AGACTTCCAAAGGCCATATCACTACATGATCCTACATAACGCAGATGTTCGCAACATTTTACTGCATAATAGGATTTTCCATGCTTTATCTTTTATCTTTTTTAGCTCACTTGGCCCTAAGCCAAGTGAGCTTTTCTCATCACTTGGCGTCCGTCGTAGTTGTCCGTTAACTTTTACAATAATTTTCTGCTCTGAAACTACTGGGCCAAATTTAACCAAACTTGGCAACAATCATCATTAGGGTATCTAGTTTAAAAAATGTGTCCGATGACCCGGCTTTGTGCCAAGATGGTCGCCATGGCTAAAACTAGAACATAGGGGTAAAATGTAGATTTTGGCTTATTTCTCTGAAACTAAAGCATTTCGAGCAAATCTGACTTGGTAAAATTGTTTATCAGGTCAAGATCTATCTGCCTTGAAATTTTCAGACAAATCAGACAACCCGTTGTTGGGTTGCTGCCCTTGAATTGGTAATTTTAAGAAAATTTTGCAGTTTTTGGTTATTATCTTCAATATTATTATAGATAGCGATAAACTGTAAACAGCAAAAATGTACAGCAAAGTAAGATCTACAAATAAGTCAACATGGTCAATTGACCCCTTAAGGAGTTATTGCCCTTTATAGTCAATTTTTAACATTTTTTTGTAAATTTAATTAAATTTTTTATAAAAATCTTCTTCTCTAAAACTACTGATACAAATTTAACCAAACTTGGCCATAATCATCATTAGAGTATCTATTTAACAAAAATATGTCCGATGACCCCGCCTACCAACCAACATGGCCGACATGGCTAGAAATAGAACATAGGTGTAAAATGCAAGTTTTGTCTATTATTTTTTGAACCGTTATGAATAGAGAAAATCTGCAAGGAGCAAAAATGATCAGAAAAATGAGCTCTACTAATTGTCCATATACGTCAAAACTGTTAGACAAATTCTTATAGGAGTTATTGCCCATAAATGACAAATTTTACCATTTCTTTTTCATTTCTGCCTATTATGAAAACTATGATATTTAGAGAGAAACATTTTTTTCCGTTATGCCTTATATGATTTAAATTATAATAGATAAATAAACACTTTAAATCACAAAAATGATCAGCAAGGCAAGATCTATTAAAAAGTCAAATTTTGCCGATATAGTTAGTAGACTGTCACTCTTCATAGGAGTGATTGCCCTTAAATGAGGATTTTTTTTAACCTCTTTTGTGTTTTCAGCAAAAACTAAAGGAGATAGAGAGAAACTAAACAAACTAAAAGATCAGTAATACAAGATCAACAAAATAGAGATTTTTGTCATGAAGTCTATTCTCGTCTACAATGTTGGAGAGTGTCCTTTGTTTGATATGAACATAGACCAAGGTGAGCGACACAGGTTCTTTAGATCTTCTGGTTTTTATTATTATCATCATTTAATGCTGAGGTTGCTAATAGCCATAATACTACCAAGCAAATTCGTAGATTGTGATCTTCATGCTGGGGATGAGACCCATATGCATATCCTTCGATGCAAACTTTTATAAAGAATGTTTAATTCAACATATTGTATTGATAATATTAATCAATTTACTGCACATGATGCGTATTTCGACAAATCTTGTCTCTGAAGTAATGCTAGAGGCAAACATTTTTGAAAATCCGAAACTTAATGCAAAAGTTGAAGAGCTATTTAAACAAAACAAAAAATACGAAGAGTAATGCCAAACCAGCAGCAATTCAAAGCGATGAATACCATTCTGATAATATAGATATGTGTAAAGGGCATGAAGTATATAAATAAAGGCAACAGTAGTATACCGCTGTTCAATAGTCATAAATCGATTAAGCGAAAACAAATTCAGGTCACAAACCAAAACCGAGGGAAACACATCAACTATAAGAGGAAAACAACGGAATAACAGAAACATTGAACTTCTACAAAAACAATTTAAACGCCAACAAACATAGAAACGGACTCTTCAATATTTAAATTCCATTAGGTTTAACCAACGTTTATTTGTTTTTGAAAAAAATAAAACATATCCTGATATATATTGCTTTATATGAACTGTTGTGCGTTCTCATAATCATACAGGGGCCTCGGTCGCCGAGTGGTCTAAGTAGTTACTACTGTAATCACTAGCCAGTCAACACTGAGGTTGTGAGTTCGAACCCCGCTCGTGCGGATGCACTCGACTCCAATCTTAATTGACTAGGATTGTCAGTTGTCCTATCGAATGTCGGTGGTTTTCTCCGGGCACTCCGTCTTCCTCCACCAATAAAAACTGGCCGCCACGAAATAGCACAAAAGCGGTGCTTAAAAGTGGCGTTAAAACACCAAAAATCAAAAATCATAATCATACATCCTGTCGATACTGTTTATTTATATTTTGGCATTGTACAAGGTCATGCATGTGGTTCTAAGACTGTTCATGACGTCTTTACACTAAATCTGTGAGATGTCTACTGAACGTAATTTACGCAAAGAAATGAGAAAAGTAGTTTTCCGAAGTTCAAAATATAAATCGGCTAAAAAGATATTAATCAAGGTAATACACAAAAACTGAGGGAATGGCATACATTTCCAAATAGGAAGGAGATCGAATGCGTCGACATGATAAACGTCTCTTGATATGCATGCTCCCAAACTCAGTCAGAATAAATGTCACAATCGGGAATATTTGTATTCTTTTCTTTCATTTTTGCTTATGTGCTTTGTCTATTTAGTGTCTATATGCCTTTTTAGTTTTCTTTGTGACTGCTGTACCACAATTTGTGACTTTTTCACCAATTATGTTTGTTTTTTTTTGCTTACACATTGTTGCTTATATAAAGGAAATCTATGCGACTGTCATACATGTAAGAGGTTTAGCTAGCTATAAAACCAGGTTTAATCCACCATTTTCGACATAAGGAATGCATGTACCAAGTCAGGAATATGACAGTTGTTTTCCATTCGTTTGATGTGTTTGAGCTTATGAATTTGCCATTCGATAAGGGACTTTCCGTTTTGAATTTTCCTTCGAGTTTGTTATTTTTGTTAATTTACTTTTTTTGACACAATCGATAAATTTAAAGACTGCGAAAACATAACGCTAATGAGTTGAGACGCAAACACGTCGTATTGATCATCCAAAACTTACGAGTTTACTGCTTTAGTATCGATTTTACTCGCGCTTCCTCGCATCGTTTTTAGAACAATTTTTTTTTAAGGAGAACACCCTGTGAATGTAGTCCATTTAGTGTGAACATGCACGAGTGTCACGTATATTGAAATATTTTATCCCAAAACGATGGGACAGAGAGTATATAACTGCAAATAAGATTCACGGTACCAATTTTGTTTCATCAGTTGCGCATTTCGACAATTAATGTCTCTTCTGTGATGTTTTATGCCAACATATTTGAGATCAATTCCGAATACAGACGCTGAAGAGTTGATAAAACCAAAACGACCTTACGAAAAAAGCCTGACCCGGACAAGGACAAAATTTCACTATTCCCATAAGGACTAGGAGTGTGTAGAAGGATGAAAATACAAATTGTCATCAGTTCTAGACTAGATCGCTACATACATGCATAGTCGTGTAAGCAGGTGTTCACTATAAGATATAAAATTAAACCATATTCTCTACACGCATAAGCAGTTTTCATCAGGGGTAACAGTTTAAAAAACAGGCGGAAGATACCAAGGGAGCCTTCAAAACTCATAAGACGAACTCGCGAGCCAATATAAAAATAAGGAGATGTGGCTTGATTGTCAATGAGATAACTATCCACCAGAGTTCAAATGACCATGATGTAAGCAATTATAGGTCACTACACGGCCTTTACCAATGTGTAAAACCCATTCCATATATCGAACTATAAAAGGCCTTGACATTTAAAATGTAAAACAATTCAATCAAGAAAACTAACTGTCTAATTCAAAGCAATTTTTTATAAGTAAACCAAATAGGACAGACATGCATGAACGATAAACACTGATTTACATGCTCCTGATTTGGGACAGACAAATAAAAAATGTGGCGGGGTTAAACATGCTATGAGCGCTTAACCCTCCACATAAGCTGGGCAGTGGTGTAGTAGAACAAAATAAGAGCAAACTGTAAAAATCAGCTGCAAGTTGCTTAACTCAATAGATCGGTCCGCAGAACAAAAACAAGTTACATAAAAACAATAAATCCCATCAAAGAAACCAGTTTTATTATTTGTAAGCCAGGCGCTCAATTCGTCTACAAAAGACGTCCCAGTGACGCTCGAATAAAAAGTTAAAAGAACAAATAAAGTACGAAAGTAAAGAGCATTGAAGACTAACGATTCCGAAAAGTTTAGCTAAATATAGCTAAGGTAATATATTCCCGGGGAAGAAAATCCTAAGTATTCAAACAATTCAAAGTCTGGTAAACTCTTAGTTTATTAATATTACCATAGACACAAAACACCGATATAAGAGTCCTCGCAGTTACTGAAATCTAGTTCAAAGTCAATTGCACCTATTAGATAAACCATGTTCTCCCAGCCTCAAGTTTAATATTCACCTAAGCATATGAAATATACAGGTAGTGTTAATTTAGATCAATAGAGGGTCAGTTTATTTTTAAATCTTTTTTTTTAAAGTTGCAACATTTCACAACAACACAAAAATTAAAGGTTAATCCCGTCACTAAAAATAGAGGAGATTTTCCAGTTAACAAATGGGTATTGCATGTAGCAATCAGGAGGACAAAACACGAATACGTGTTTTAATTATACTGGCTTAGGGACGAAATAAAAATGTAGACAGAAACAGACCGATTGATATTTTTACAGAAACGAAAAAGACTAGGGACGAAATATAGAGTAACATCAGAAAAGTGAAGAGCAAATATTTGATGTTAATGGAAAAAGCTTATAAACAGAACAAAAAGGTCGACTCCGAGTGACGTGAAGAGAAAATATTTGTTAGAGAGTGGATAGACACAAGGGCGAAACAAAACGTACAGAACAGTTTTGTTATAGAATGTGAAACAGTTTAGGTACGAAACAAAAAAGTTGATAGGAACGCAAAAAGTCAATATTTGATGGAAACGAAAAACATAAGCAGGTCTTCTAGTTTAACGTCAAAAGAGAGTTTTGAATCAGCGATTGAACTAATAACAACTGACAGAAGCACAGATGGAAATGGTCGACATTTTTTAGATGAGAACCAGGATATTAAAGTTAAACAAAAATCTGATGGAAAGAATAGTAATGTATTCAAAGACCACAAATGTTGTTTGTTAATTGCTACTATCGTATTTATAGTGTTTCTGAGTATCTTCATCATCACAAATTACAATCGCTGTGAGGTATATATAATTGACTACAATACAGATAATTTATTATTGTGTTTCAAATTAAATGATGCGGTAATAGCAATAGTTATATTTGTTTGTTTCAAGTAAATAAGAATATTCCTTTTTTTTTTTTTATACTTTTTGCCAATGATTCTATTCGTAAAAATGATAGTTTTGCAATATTCAATATTTGTACTGTATATCTACGATAATCATTATTTACACTAAATTGAAATATGACAAAGCTATTTAAAACGTGGCTAAAGTATGATTCTATCCGTTTAATGAGATATAAATTTTCACATTACAGCCAACTCGTGAATATTCTTTTGTTTCCGGAAACTGCGCTAACTGTACAAAAGAAAATAAAACAGAGGAAAAAGGTATTTGATTTAAAACTAAAAGCACGACTACAACATTTCTGTATTATGATGTGTATACACCGTTTATCGATGTGTACGCATGACATAAAACATGACATGGTCAAACAAAATATTTGGAAAAGAGAATACAAACATTTCTTTTTACTAGTTTTACAACTTTATTTTTCATCAGATTGTGTGGTTTTTGTTTCGAGTTTTTATAAAAATCACCTTAACAAGGAATATAAGATATACAGAGCGCACTTTGGATCAACCTAACATTCGAGCTTTTTAGATCTATTTCAACTTAAAAGCGTTCTTATGAAAACTTCAATCTTCAGCTTTGAATTAGAGTTTTGTTTACTGTAAATTCAGAAATATTTGCGATGCTTTATTTTTGCACAAATTGTAACGGAATTGGAATTGTCAAAATGTAATTTCGCATTTTAAACTTTGATACAATTATTTGTATTCTTCATTTACTGAATTGAAACAACTTATCTCGGAATTTTTTCCAATCTTCAAAAACCGCAATAATAATTGCACGCGAAAGTTCTGAATTTCAAGGTACCTTTTGTTTTTTTTATGTTTCAATCTACGATAAAGCGGCCAACAAGTCGCAATTTAACAAGTAGCAATTCTGTTTTTAAAGTCAGTTTGAAGGGATGGTTTTCATTCCGAATAATAAGAGGTTTACATTGTATGCTGTTGTAGACAAAAGTAGTCGACAATCGCTCAATGACATGTAAATTTGTCGTTTCCCGTCGATTTTTTCACATTTGATGGATTCAAAGCTAAAAGCTATAGAAATTTAGATACACATTTGGTTGGTGTCAAATAACTCAAAAGATCGGTCCAATGCAAAAAACCAACTAACATAAAAGACAATAAAACCTATCAAAGATATCACATTGATGAATTTTTACACCAGACTCGCGCTTCGTCTACAAAAGACGTCTCAGTAGCGCTCGAATAAAAAAATGTTAAAAGACCAAATCTAGTACGACGTCAAAGAGCATTGAAAACCAGGATTCCGAAATGTTTAACTAATTGTAGCTAAGGTGATCTATTCCTGGTGTAGGAAATCTTAAGTATTCAAAGTTAAGATATTGTAAACAGTTAACTTATTAATAATATTACCATAAACACAAAGCACGGATATAAGTGTCCTCGCAGTTACTGAAGTCAAGTTCGAAGCCAATTACACCTAATAAATCCAAGCATACAAAATATACAGGTAGTGTTGATTTAGACCATCGAAGGTTCATTCTATTTTTAAATCATTTTTAAAGTTCCAACATTTCATCAGACAAAAATTAAAAGGTTAATCCCGTTACTAAAAATAGAAAAGATTTTCCAGTAAACTAATGATATTGCATGTAGCAATTAGGAGTACAAAACACGAATAAGAATACGTGTTTTGATTATACTGGCTTAGGGACGTAATAAGAATGTAGACAGATTTTTTTTAAGAAACGAATAAGATTAAAAAAATGATTAAAAATGCAAATATCTCCGAGAGGGACAAAAAACTAGTTACAATTGATTGAAAAGTAACAAAGAGTGAAATAGATTTTATAAGATTGCATTTCATCAGAAATTCACACTGAGATCACCCCGTTGATTGATAGAGTATTTGATCTTTTATCCACTGCTGATGGATAACTCCACTTTTTTTGCCGCACAATGAAATCATCTATTCACGGTCTTCCATGTCATTTCATTCTTAGCTTGAATATATGTGTTACTTGTTAATAAATCAATGTATTCCATTGTTATGTTCTTTATATGTTCTCTTCAGAATATCCTAGCAAAGAAGTCAAAGATACAGAATTTCAAGTTACACTTTGGGACACATCGATGACAGTTATTATACAAACCCATGAAACGCTATCTCTCCACCTCAGTCGATATGACGACAACACTACAATGATGATATGTAGAAATAACAGAACGTCGTATGAGCTCTTCTGTAACTCCCAAGCAAAACGTAATTGCCAGTCTGTTCCTGTTCCTGTCAATAAATCAGTTACCATCAGAAATGAAACACAAGATGAACAGATCATATTTAACATTGTGGCAAAATGTATAAATCAAAAAGTTGGTATCAAATGGATAAATATTTAGCCTGTAATTTGCATGTATTTTCAAAAACTTTATTAGGTTTCGTCATCTTTCTGATTTGAAAAGAACTAAGCAATGTTACTTTAGAATAGTTTTTAATGATGCATGAATAGGTGAAGATGTTAAACTTCTCGGAAAATCTATTTTACTTAATATTGAACTAGTTGTGGGATCCCAATTTAGATCACTCCAAACTTGTCTGTCTTTACCCAAACTTGTGAGTTTATCATATACGCATGCTTGCTTTTCCCTGTGTGGATGAATAAAACCAACCAAGAGGGGAGGAATTCACTAAGAAGACACATGCGTCTAGTTAGTTGTACGAAGATATTTTCATAAAACATGTTTTCGAGGTTCGGATATATTTTTGTGAATTAATCTCGGAGTAGATTTTTTTTTAATTGTAAACATCCTATCTGATACTACTACTTAGTTTATAACTGCAGCTGGTGGTATATTTGTAATTTCCAGCTTATATAAATTGGCCAGTATCCAGTGTTTTCGTCGAGACAGTATGAAAATTCTAAGTTTTTATGAAAACTTTTAATTTAGAAATTTATTATTTTTACTATAACCAGAGTAAAAAATGTTTGCAGTGTTTAGTCCCTGGTCCTTAAATCTGAGAAAAATTTTCATGCGCATGAAATTCAATATGATACTTTTTTGATTTTCTTTGACATGTTGTTCTAAGGGAGTTTTCCTGATTGTGTGACCGTTTACAAATTAAAAAAATAATTAAATCATTCTTCTATCCTGTATTCTCTTCTTTTTTCATTGAGAATTTCGTTGGAAAAACTCCAATTCGTACTTATACTAAATTTGTTTTGCTGTTTCACAAAAGTTTGTAAAAATTACCTAAATCGTGTTGATAATTTATATCACAACTGCTTTAATTAAAAGGTTTACTTAACTAAAGTGTGTCTAGCGAATTATTGCGTGAATCTTTATTAACTATAACAGGAGTATATGACACTAGATATAGTGTTGAAGTTTCAGTGACCGGATCAATTCACTTTCAAACTGATAAACATCAAATTGTTATAAATTTGGTTCACGCCTAGACAGATTGAACAAACATTCGAAAAAAGGAATTATTGCCAGAGTGCAAAGCAAATGCATAAACGGATTGATAGTGTTGTTAGCCTAACACATTTGAAAATACTTGATCAGAGACACTTAATGCCAACAACACACTGAAAGAGTATATACATCCAAGTATTCATATCAAATCTGAAGGATTGTTTATGCTTGGATGATGTATGTCATTTTATATTATCGTCTCATATGTTAATCTAAAACTATATTTAAAATAGTTTGAAACGGAATCTATAGAAATGTACTAACGGAAGCTTTATCCTACCAAAACACTACTACAGAAGGTTACGAGGACGAACGACATAATTCTCGAATATTGCAACATCATAAATTGTTGGATCGCTACAATATCTACAATATCTATATATCAACCTATAAGTAACATTTTAGCTCTGTAATATCAATCTGACATGATTAACGGTTTTGTAGTGTTCCTGGCTTAGACAATTGCTTTACCTATTCCAAGATAGTTCTAATATATAACGGCTTTTGGGGGATTTGCTTGGACCATGGAAATTGCCGATCCAGACTTCGGAAAGTTTAAGTCTCCGAATTGTAATACATCCAAGTCAAATACATAAATCAAACACCATTTAATTCCTTATCAAATTCCCATACCTTTTATTCACAATTATGAAAAACAAAACAATCGATGGTTCGATGAAATTAGCTTTTGTTACGGAAACGAATGTTGTATGATTTATCTGTTTGCTAATGGATTTGTAAAGATTTAGACAGAAACATGCGGACCCAGGTTTATTGACGGCAAGTTTTATGTTTTCTATGAGCAAAGCGTTCAACGGTCTGCGTCAGAAGTCAGACCAAATTTGATGATGCATATATAAAAGGAAATGATTACCTCCACATTACCCTTCCGGAGTACTTGAGATCAATTCGGATTTTTGTGGTGTTCCTTTTGCTCTTTAGTTTTCTGTGTTTTGTTTTGTGTATTGTTGTATGTCTTTTCGTCTTTTTTTATTTTTTGCCATGGATTGTCGGTTTGTCTTCAACTTATGAGTTTGAATGTCCCTTTTGTATCTTTTGCCTATTTTTTTTAGACATACTAGTTTTATAACTAAGTATTTGTAATACAACAACTACCTCTTCTTATGTTTCATGGAAAAATATCTAGGAAAAATACTAGACTGCCAAGTTGGATAGAAACCATACACAGTGAGGACTTTATTAACTTTCGTATCTCAGCTTATGTTATTATAATGTACATAGGTGCGTGTGTATTAAATCATATACTAAATTTTTTTTACTTGCATATTACTTAATACTAGCCTCACCTGAATATATAGAAAAAGAAGATGTTGTATGATTGCCAATGAGACAACTCTCTCTCTCCATAATAGACCAAATCACACAGAAATTAACACCTATAGGTCACCGTACGGCTTTAGAATAGTATAATAGTATGAATACATTGAAAATTGAAATTGAACAAATGAAACGATATCAGGTTCATGTTTATGAAACATCAACATAGGGCGAATATATCAAGGGTAATAAAAACGCATTAGTCGGGAATAGGTTGATATCACCATGACCAAAGGAGAAAAGTAGAACAATAGTTAGCTGAACACTAGATAGAAAACAAGAGATGAAGAAACATGGAGGTTAAATCAACCGCCCGTGAAGGAACTTTTAGTAATGACAGCAATCGTATAACTCGTCTTAAAATTCGAAAATATTCCATGTGCCATAACAAAGATAGATGACAGGTCTCTTGTCTAACCGTTAAACATTTCCTAATTTATAAACTATCGGTAGATGCAAGTTTTGTAACCCTTTTACATGTTTGAAATAAAAATAACCTTTTTTTAGACAAATGTTAAACAAGACAAATACATATGGAAGCAACATATACATTGAAAAATAAAGTAGCCCAAATGCTATACAGAAAACTAAAGCAAAAGCAACAAAACCCCTTTAAGTTGAATCAGACTTCCCCTAATAAGTTTTGGCTCCACCAGTTGTGACGATCGGTATCTATGATGCGTTTGCTTGCTCATTTCAAGAAAAATCCGTCTAAAAGTCTCATTTGGTGATATTACAATCAAAGAAAAGAGGCCTGGATGGCTTTTGAAAAATATCAGTGTTCAGCTGTGACATATCAAACAGAAATCCTGAAATATCGTAACAACTGGGAATTATTACTCCATATGCTGGGTTTCTTGAATGTGAGTACCCAACAAGTAAACTTCGAGATGGAAAATCAAAATCATCTCTTTTATATCAACCGACCTTTATTTTCGACTTTTAGATTCAAGTCAATGTATGAAGCTGACTGAAGATTTCTGATTTCTTTATTTTAAGTTCATTTAAATAGATGCGATTAACCTAAATATGCAAAGTAAATTAAAATTACATTTTATAGATTTTGTGCGTCCGAAGCGCATTTCTAAATATACCTTCATCAAGAACGTAAAAGCTTACATAATTGAAAGCAAAGGCTATATTGCAAAAAAAAGATAGCAACATTAAGATCAACATTGAGGGAGTCCTATCCAAAGAGTTTTAATAATCTCTCAATTTTTTTGATTTTGAGAAAGGCATGTTAAAAAATCATTTCAGAACCGAAGCACAGACTAATAAGCTGACGATGTCATATGTGACTTGGAGGACTAAAGAGCTGAATCAGCAGCGGTATCGACCCAGTGATAGAAAATGAAAATAAACACCACTGTCTAAAGTGTAGGTTGCCCACTAACATGTTTAACCCCGCCACATTCTGTATGTGCCTGTCCCATGTCAGGAACCTGTAATTCAGTGGTTGTCATTTGTTGCTGTGTTACATATTTGTTTTTCGTTTATTATTTTGTTCATAAATTAGGCCGTTAGTTTTCTTGTTTGAATTGTTTTATATTTGTCATTTCGGGGCCTTGTATAGCTGACTATGCGGTATGGGCTTTGCTCATTGTTGAAGACCGTACAGTGACCTATAGTTGTTAATTTCTGTGTCATTTGGTCTTATCATTGGCAATCATACCAGATCTTCTTTTTTATATTTATCAATATGATGCGTCCGATGCTTTCTTCTTGATAAACTGTTAACAAAAAAAAAAAACCGCTCCATTGCAAGAATTTGAAATTCAAGAAAGTACAAGTACTTGAATACATTAGGAGCTTTGTGACCAAAAGTGACATATAATAATTTGAAAAAATTAATCAACCGTAAAGTTCATGCTCTTTACCTGTATCGTTACAATATGTAATTGACGTACGCCTAAAATATCATCCCCATTTGGCAGTTTTGGCTTAGACCACTTATATAGCGTATAAGTATGATTCATTAAACTAGCGAATTGAGTATTGTGTTTTCATGACCAAGTCTAAATACGTCAAGAGCAAATTGTTCTATGAGAAAGTAAATGACACTATCCTGATTTGCAACGTTTAAGTTGTATTTTGCCAAAATGTATTGCTAAGCTCTTCATGTGTATCCTTTCAAACATTTTAAAGTATACATGTATCCATGATTTTTATTTCAGGCGTTTCTGATGAGGATTATATCACAAACTATAAAGATTATCATAACACACGTTTTTATATTCCCTTTGGATAGTTTTATATGTTTACATTAGTAAGACCACAAAAACAGCACAATCTACTTTATTTTTATCATTATCAATACTATAACTATGATTATATTATTCATCATCATCATTGTTATCATAATTATCATGATACAGAATGAAATAATAAATGGGGAATGTGTCCATGGGACATAGATGTTGATGCCCCCTGGCCCAATTGCATATAACTTTATAAAGGGACATACCTTATGAACAGTAAAAGTGACGCTAGCCAAATTCGTACTTGGTCTGAGTTTTTTGGTAATAAGCATTGTGTATAAGTTTCATAGCATTTGGTTGAGACAAACTTAAGTAAGAAAACAGAAACGAAAAATTCAGCATTTTTTCCATTTGTAAAGGGCATAACTCTAGAACGGCAACAGTGACGCCACCAAAATTTATACTTGATCTGTGTTTTGTGGTTATTAGCATCGTGTATAAGTTTCATAACATTTGGTTGAGGCAAACTTAAGTTAGAGAACGGAAACGAAACATTCAGCAATTTTTCCATTTTTAAAGGGGCATAACTCTAGAAAGTTAGAAGTGACGCACCCAAATTCAAACTTGATCTGTTTTTTTGTGATAATAAGCATTGTGTATAAGTTTCATAGCATTTGATTGAAGCAAACTAAATAGAGAACGTAAACCAATTTCGGGACGTACGGACGTACAGACGGACAAGGGTAAAAATTAATGCCCCCTCTGCTACGGTGAGGGCATAAAAAACATCAACGATAATTAAGTAACTATTCACTTTAAAAATAATCTCGTTTTTGGTAAGCGATGCAATTACTTTAGAAGATCGTGATTTTCATTCGCATGAAATGTAATGATAACAAAGGTAAGAAACATAATATTACCAACAATAAGTATCTTGAAGTTCTACCAAGGGTAAATGGCAAAACATTGTGTCTCAGTCTCATTTTCTAATAAAGTTGATTTTACCTGTTTTCGTTGTAGTTAAGTTTTTTCCTGGTTATATTTTATTTTTAGCTATTGGAGTCATTAAAAAACTCATCATAGAGACTTTCAAATGAGATCATGATAAGTCCTCTTTGAAATACGATTATATACCTATATGGAGTCATTTTCTTTCAGAAAGATATGTCTTTCTTTTGGAGAAACAACCCGAATAATACCAATTTTCACTTAAATGTGCTTCAATGACTACTTATGTAGGATATTATTTTTCCTGATAAGATGCAAACTAAAGATTACTGAAACATTAAAATAATTTGATACTTATCGCGTGTTGTTGACAATTGAGTATTACTTTTTAATTTTCCATCTCTAAAACAGGCTTTAGACAAAAACAATCTTTCCACTGAAATACTTGAAAACGCAACGTCAACGCACATTTTAACTTTGGAAACAATATAATGTGAAGTTTTGTTAAATTATTGCTACAATTAAGGGACATTATGTGAGATAATAACGCAAAACTTTTCATAACACTTTTCAACAATCCAAATTTTATTACATTCGGGTGTAGGATTTTTAAAACTTATCGATTCATAATGTATTGGAAATTGTACTTTGATATATGGATGTCCGTTTTTCCTGTTACATGCCTTTTACGATTTTGTGACCTCTTCATGCCAGTTTTTGATTTTTTTACTTTTATACATACACTTTTTTCTCCATCAAATGACCAAATATTCTTATTTTCAATAGTGAAACAGCCACGTACTTTATAATGGGGGTAATAATATTTTATCCGGATTCTCTATTTTTGACGAGAAAAAAATGTATGGCCGGACAAAACAGGAAAAAAAATACTTAGAAAAGTTCTTTAGAAATTGTTGAAACATTAATTTCCACCTTTTCATGTGCCTGTCCAAAGCCAGAATCATCGTCCGTAGAACGTTATAATACGTCATAACTCAAAGGCACATATATCCTCGAATTCGTTCCGTAAACACATCATTCAAAAACTACCAGTACAATATGATGTCGTACATATACAAATAAATAAAGATTAAAAAAAACCGTCCTAATTTGTCTGTTTGTTAGCTGGTATTTTGACGGATATATTTGTCATCTGTAGGAGATTATTAATCAACTTTATATCTTCTAGTGAATATTGCTAATAGCCGACGCCATTGTTCGTCAGGGCATTTTGGAAATAACATTAACTGTACTTTCGTGAGGAATGCAGGTTTGTTTTCCAATGCATCAAACTGGAATAAAAAAAATAAATAAAAGATAAATAAAAGAGAATTGGGAACAGTTTTGAATCTTTGTGTATTAATTACAATTTTCAGTTTTTAAGTTCAATTATGAAGCAGATTTCGTAAGATTAGATAGTATACTTTAGCCGTAATATCCATATGCAAACAATTTAACGAATTAGTTCTTCATCAAATGCACTATGACTGCTAGTATCTATACTTGAGACAGATAAATACAGCTGAAAAAGTCAGTACAACCATGTTTACTGTTCTTATGTTCTAGTAGATAGATGAAGGCATATATACAATTTATCTGTACATTATAAGAGAGAATGAGTGATAAATCATATTTGGTAAAATTCTTGCATTTAAAGATTTTTCTTTGCCTAAAGACTAAGAAATAGAAACATATGATACCAAGCGTTTACTTAATAGAATAACAGTCACAGAAAAGCAGTCAATGCCATGGACCGAAAAAAAAGATGAAAAGACAAAAAACAGTTCAATACACAACATAGAAAACTAACGACTGAGCAACACTATCCCAACCAAATACCGGATTTAATTTCAGGTACTCCGCAGGAGTAAGCCAAAAAAATGCTGAACGAGAGAAACTTTTGTCTTGCTATAACAGCCCACTCTGTTAAGTTTTAACATTTTTATCAATTTATTTACATTCTGCTCAAACAATTTTGAAGGCAATGCTAAACTTTCTGTTTGATTTTATGGCGAGTTACAAAATTTTGGAAGTTATTTTAAAATTAGGAATACATCTCCCTCATGCAAAGTTCTGATTCCTTGCCCGACTTTGGCTATACTTTTTTGTCCTTTTTAGTTTATAGCTCTTCATCTTTTAATAAGCTTTGGATTTTCATATACGTTGGCCTCGAGCATTACCGAAGAGACATTGTTTGTCAAAATGCGCATCTGGTGCAGAAAAATTGGTACCGTTTATGTTATTAGTGAACCTGAACTGCTAGATGTGGTCATTGGGCGTAATTTTAAAAGTAGAAAGCAAGTCAAATAAAAGAAAGTTTAATTAGATATTTGATATTAACATATTCATAAAATCTCAATCATATCCGTATTAAATTACAATCATGTCGAAATATATTTATGGGTTCAAATCAGATATGAGGTCAATTACTTTTGAAAGTAATTAATTACATTCAATTACAATTCAAAATCTTCATTTAAATTACACATTACATTTGACTTTTTTTACCAATGTAATTAATTACTTTCCAATTTGTTGTAATGTAATACATATCATACATTGCTTAATAGTAATAACAAATGAGATCTACAGTGAGTATTTTCAAATTCAGCCAGTATCAAAGAGGAGTAAAAGTTAGATACCTGGTGTGTTATGGGAAGAAAGAAAAAACATTCATTAAATGACATTAATCTAAAGTGCACATAATACTTTGTTCATTAGGACTAGAGGTATGGTTTAGCTTAATTCTCAAAATGATAAAAAGCCTTACTTAATATTTTGAAAATATAGAAAATTTTGTTTTAATTACCTATTGAAATTTTATATTTTAATGTATTCATTGAAAATGATACAAAAAGAGAGCCATAATTTTAATATTTTGAAATGATTTTTTATCTTGATCACAACTTATTAAAATTATTTATTCTAAAGAAATGATTTAGAGAGCCTGACTTTTAAAAAAAATATACACTAGTTTTAATCACAATTAATTAATTTAAAAAAATCATGTACCAAGAGGTAAATTTATCTCTCTGTAATTGGCTTAGCACCTGTTTGACATGCAAACATAACTGTTGTAAAAACAGTCATTATATAGTTTATAATAAAACAAATAGCCAGAGGTTATATTTATTGATTAACTGTGTCTGAATATACATTCAGAATATAGCAAAATGCTCTCGACCAATGAAATTGTAGGAATTGATGCTTCTTGATTGTAAGGAATGAATGTAAATCATTTTCTTAGTAAGGGATTATCCTATTGTTTAGGCCTATTTACAGTTCAAATCAAAGAGTTTCTATAAATAAGTTACAACTGCCTCGAAGCACATTTATCAGCTTGAAAGGATTTGTGATTGAAACTGATTAATAAAACATTAATTATGAAAAAAAAATAACAAAATAAATAATTAAGAATATTTTAAAATAACTTTATATTACTAAAAAATAAACTATACCAGAGCAATGCAAAAAAAGTAAAAAAAAAATTTGGAAATTAAATAGAACTAAATATTTAGCTAATATGCTTGCCAGAACTCAGATTTCTGGATCCGCGTTTGGTAAAAAAAGTAATTTCAAGTATTCTGATAAAAAAGTAGATAATCTCTTTCTTTATGATTAAGGACGAGCGTTAGTGTTTTGTTTTCACGAAGAAAGGGATAATCAGTCTCTTATAAACTTAGAACTTAGAATATTGTAAAGTGCTCAAGGCTCAAATGATCTCTTGATTGGTTTTATTCAATAATTTGTTTCATTGTCAGTGCAATGTTTATAATTAATGGATGACTCCCTTTGTAGGTATTTCAATTATATATTAGTCTTACTGATGTGAGGACTAACTTTTAGTTTTTGAAATTCAAATAAATTGTGTTTTAGACTTAAGTTGACAAAACAGTACAATGAAATGGTAGAAATTTTCGTCATTGTGAGTATAAGTGTAAATTATGTTTTGAAATTTTCCTCGGAGTTCGGTAATTTTGTTATTCTACTTTTTAATTAGGAATAATTGTTTAGTTTATTTACAGTTCTATTTAATTAATTCAAAATTAGAGTTACAACTAAGTTCCATTCCACAAACAATTTTATTCCAGCGTTTTACATCAAATACAACTTAATTAACTAAAATTTAACAATTATAAGAAAATGTTTTTTTTTTAGAAATTTAAAAGTTACATTTGTTATTCGATTTCATGTATGTACCGGTATACTGGAAATGACTATTCCTACTAACTGCGGATACAGTAATCTGATTTTTGGGAAGCGTATCAGCTAAAGATTTAGGTTAAATCTAGTTTTAAAAGTTTTTTGTTTTCCTTTTCTTCTTTCACACTCCTTTTTTAATGTTTTGTTTTGTAACTTCGAAGTTCTAAATATTCACATACTAACACAAACGATACCAATTATACTGCACACGCAAACTTCAAACGTATTTTGATTCTTTTTGTTTGTTTCAAAATTCGCTTTTCAATTGATCATTCTGTAATTTTGATAAATGTGCTTAAGGCAGTTGTGACTGATCTATATACATTCTTTGTTTTGAACTGTAAGTAGGCCTAAACAATAGGATAATCCCTTACTAAGAACATGTTTACATTCATTCTTCACAATTAAGAAACACAAAATTCAACACTTTCATTGGTCGAGAGCACTTTGCTATATTCTAACATCAACTAATTCATAAATGAAATAAACAAAAAATAAGTCATGCATTTCTCATAAACATTGCACTAACGATGGAACTAATTCTTGAATACAACCAATCAATATTCTAAGTTTGTAAGAGAATAAGTATCCCTTTCATCATCTCGCTAACGCTCGTACTTAATCATAAAGAAAGGGATTATCATTCTCTTACATATACGTAGCTAACAAGCTAATTAAGGTATAAGACAGTGAATTACTAATGGTTTCTTTTAAACACAAATTATGGCATGTTTCTACAATCTTTTTTTCCTTCTTTTTTTGTTGTTCATTCAATACAAAATAAATAATCTCCCATGGTTGTGTAATTACAGAAAGTATACTGTGTAGGCTTTGCTTAGTCAGCTAACTACATTTACTAAGGTCATGGCTTTTCATCATTTTTTGAGAAAACACAAGATTCAATCTTTCTGATCCAAAATTTCAAATGTAATTGAGTTGTAATTGAGTTGTAATTGTCAATTACAGACAATTTTGGTTTTGTAATTCATTTCTTTCTATTACTTGTAATTGGAAAATGCTCAGTTACACATTACATTCAATTACTTGAGAAATTGTAATTAATTACGGTCAATTACAATTACATATTTCAATTACCCCATGTCTGGTTCAAATTTACGGGTATTATATCATAGTTAAATGAGAAATATTCCCAGAAGATGTATAAAGTATTCCTTGTTTGTTGAGCGAATTTAACCGTAGAGCATGTTTTTGTTTCGAAGTTATTTTTGTGTTTTAATATGATTTATTGAATCTTTGAAATTAATCGGTGTTTTGTTTCGACGTTATTTTTGTGTTTTAATATAATTCCTTTAGTCTTTGAAATGAATCGCTCTTTTGCCTTTCTTTATATGAAACTGTAGTGCGTTAAAAATGATTTTTTTCTCCAACTCCATAATGCATTTTATTTGAAAAGAAGTAAATGTCTGCATTATTTATAAATAATGGAAGTCGAAAGTTTTATGAGAATCGTATTCTAGTCCCAAATTAGGTATAGAGTCTCGCTTAAGTCAAATATTGATATTATATATAAAATATATAAATAAACATATAAATAACCGATAACCATCAAATACCCCATTTCTAAAAATAGCTTTTATATTATGTAAACTTTCACTTTTATATAGCACCCGGAATTAAACTGGTAAGCAAATTCTTCTTGACAAATCTGGAATTTATTGTACAGATTAGTTTCAAAATTGATTCAGTACCATTTAAAAAGAAGTAAAAAGGAGCGATTGACAAAGACCATATACAAGAAATTATTAACTTGCGTGTGATGGCTTCTCCTTTGGACGATATGACAGATCAACCGAAAGAGGATGATGAACATTCGTTAGAAAATTATACGACAGAACCCGAAAGTCATATTTCACAGAAAGGATATGATGTATTATCAAGTGATATAGCAGAAAACAATAAACTTCTACCACAAACTGAACCGGACAAAGAAGCAGAAGTTGAAAAACATACAAGCTTTCTCTGGAAATACATGAATAACCATGCAACCCATGATCGAAGTAATGAACCACAACCAGAAAATAATTCAGAGTCAGATATTTGTAGCAAACCTTTGCGGATTGTTAATAGGAGCGAAGCCAGTTCTGTTACTGTTCAAAAGAACTTGGAACCTGAAAAAACACGACCTTATATGAAATACTTTATTTGGTCAATCATCTGTGTCTTTGTAGTAGTGGTATTGGTAATAGCAACGGTCTTTATAACAATTTTAATTTATAAAGAGGTAGGACTTTACCTTTATGTATAAACTAACTGTATGACAAAGCAACATAGTCAGCGACAGTCAGACATTCATTATTTTCTTTTTTAATGATACCCCGTTACAAAAAAAAAGATAATTGAAACTGTGGACATGTAGAAAACTATCATAGTGCTTGCTTTTATGATTAACAATGATGTGATGATTGGTTGTACACCCCGTTACAAATATTTATAAATGGAAAAATTTCAATAGCTAATACTTTCACTTTAATGATATTGGGATAATTAGATGGTTTGTTATTGTTTTCTATTTATTTTGCTTCATTTATTTATTGTTTTATAATTTTTATTATTATCATATATATTTTTCTACTAAATGTGATATAATTTTTTTTTATTTATCTTTTTTTTTAAACAAAATGAAAACTTCGTTTGATTGGAACATTTGTCTGTAAATATGAGAAATTGCTCGTACTTTTTCAGTGTTGTCAGGAAACGCACTTAGCGGAAGGTACTCGGGAAGGACCAGTTTGCCAAGACCTAAATAGTACGTATATATATATGGTTTATCGGTTTCGCGTTTTATTTAAAAACATATATGTCTGAATGAATCTTAAAACATTTTACATAGAAAGAGATACAAGGAAAATTTTTAAAAAGTTCATTCATATTGTAATGTAAATCAAAATCTTATGAATGAAACAAAAATATTGAAAATGTATTGATTATGGCCAGAGCGTCTTTTTCCATTATTTTCCATTCCAAAACTAATATTTTTTGTCGCTGTTGGACGAAATCGTTTTTTTTTATGTTCATATGAACAAATGCAAGATCAACGAAAATAGCACTCTAAGATTTGGTGTGCCCGAAATGCTTTACTGGATTCAACTTCACCAGGAACACTAAAACCAAATAGAATGAAAGCCAATTATGTATAAGCGTTAAATACTTGAGGTGCTGAAAGACAAAAAGAGACCAGGAAGATAGGTTGTTCATGATAATACTTCTCTATCTATTTTTTGACTGGGAAATTGAAACTTCAAAGGTGGTGAATCCTGTAAAATAAGAATAACAAACAGTACGAATAATATTCATAAACGATTTATAATTTTTAACACATACATTCATAAAATGTTTTAAAAAACTACAAATTGCTCAGTAAACGTTTCCTTTCTCTTTTGTCTAAGACTAGAATGTTAATCGGTGCACACCCAACAGATTTCGCACAAGTTTGAATTCTAAGTTCACAAATTCAAACCTTTTGAGAAGAATTTTAAGAATTAAACAGATAACACACAATTCTGAATCTTGTGTTCACAATAGTTATTGAAATACGTATACATCAAACATTTAAAATTCATGTGGAAGATAGATTTTGACAGTACAATCTATTAATCATAAAATGATGGCGATAACATGGGAGATATTCAGTTTTGATTTTTTTTAATAATCTTTGGAGAAAATCTTTTAATCTTATGTACACTAAAATATGTTATAATTTTTCTGTTGCAGTCCGTTTTTAGTTCCTCAACAAAATCTGATTGGAATGAATGTGTGATGAAAATAAATGTTTTTTGACTTTTACCCGCTTTTTGTTACTTTTTGTGGTCATATGAGCTAAATGTATCCCCTGTTACATATCGTCCGTTAACTTTCACGTTTCCGTCTTTTGCACAATTTAAGCTTGACAGGATTTGCTAGTAGTGTTCGTAGCCAATGCATTGAAAATATTAAGTTAAAAAGTTCTATTATGCTTTATTACTATTTTTGTGACAATATGTTTGGACAAACAACGTTTTGCATCGAACGATGTATTGTGAGAAATAACGTCACCTACAGATTTATGAATTGCATATGCATTCCAATTAAACTACTGTGATGTTATAATAAATAGTTATTCACCTAAAGCGCTGTATTTTTTAAGTGACCATGTGTGGTTCTTTTCGGCGTACCGGTCATCAGCTGACTGTGTCAATTCGCTTTTATATTACTACACCGATGCCTCATAGATATAAAACAAACAAATTACATGTATATTTTAAAAAGCGAAAATATCTGTAATTAATATTAATTGTTTAAACAATACCGTTGCACACAATAAATTGCAGGATAAAGACAATAAGTGTATAGTGTCTTTAAATATCAGATGTATTTGTACTCAGCTCAATTCTATCCACACATAAAGATACGGCTCACTTTAACATGGAACATATAACACAGGCTGGCTGATATCTTCCGTGATTCTTTTTTCTAGTATAATAGACAAATATGGTTAAGAAAAATAACTAGAATTTATGAAGATTGTGAAGTCATATCGCGTGCATATGTGTAACCAATGAAAATGGGTTAAGAGCTAGAATGACTCGATTGACGAATTATCTTGGGCCTGTAGCTTTTTGAGATAGGGCGATGCATAAGATGTACGGAAGGCATACTTTTGATAAAAACATATCTATATACATGTATCTCGAAATTGAGAAAAATACATTTGTCTATGCAGCAACAATATTCTCGACAATTGTATGTAAACCGGGAGGAAACCAAGCTCGTGCAATAACTTATAAGAATATTTGGGTAGGCGTTCCAGATATAGGTAATCCAATTAAGCGCTTCAGACGCCTGCAGTTTATAGAGTGTTTTCCTTTAAGGTGGCTGAAGCGTCTTTATTAAAATCCATAGAATTTTTTAATAATTTGTCAAAATGAAGTTTTTGTCATGCTTTTTTCAAAAATAATATAAAAAATTATGGGTCACCGGACTTTTTTTCACGCTACAGGTTGTGCAAAACTGTCAGATTTGTATAGATTATGCATGGAAAATCCAATTTTGTGTGATAAAAAGAAAACTACATGATAGAATTTTAAGATAAAATGTGAGAAGATAGCTCTTGTAACATGCTTTCAGATAAGAAAAAGAAAGAATGGGGTCACCGAACTTGTTTTCTTGCTACATATTAAAATAGGTAGATTCACAACACTTTGTATTATAAAATTACTGTATCTGAGTTATCTCCCCTATTTTGGCAAAGTTGAAAAAAAATGAATCAAACACAAATATGGTGTTTTTTTTTAAATTACAGCCGTAAATATGATGAAACACAGAATTTTCTAAATTTACATCAAAAGTCTTACACATGATTTACAAACTACTCTCAAAATTTGCACATTTCATTTAAGATCTAGACCATCTGTTATCTGCTAATTCAAAATCAAAGATGGAAGAAGACACCCGAGCCACCTTAAAGAACACATTATATGAAAATAGTAGACAATGTTTATGACATAGTATACGACGGTCTTGAAGGATCATACAATCGATGTATAATGAATAAAAGTTCAACGTTATTAAAATTGACAATTTAAAGACGATATTACCTTGCTTTCACTTGCACTAATAATTCTTATCAAATGAAGGGCCTCAGTAATCGATTATAATGATCATTAGTTTGTCAACCCAGAGGTTTTGAGTTTGAACCCCGCTCGTGGCAGGTGCGTCCGAATTCAATCTTAATTGACTCGAATTGTCATTTTTCCTGCCGTCGGTCAACACTTCTCTCCATGTACTCTGACTTCCTCCACAAGTTGAAAAACAATCCACAGCATAGCCAAGAGTGCGGAAAGTTGCGTCAAACACCGACAATATATTAATTGGCGATTTTTTCAAATATAATTAGATTCGTTTAAATCCCTTAATCATAGTTTGAATCAATAGTTTATTCCTGTCAATTAAATTCTTATTAACGAATACATTGAAAAGCAAAATTGAGGATATACTCATTTTTATCGTACAACGTGGCACTACAACGGTACAAGTAGTAACGTCACTGAGGATACAAGTATCGTCAGTAAAAAGTTTGACGTTTTTCGAACTTGAACAAGATTCAGCATGTTATCAAGCACGTTTGCTTAGGACTTTTTATGTATCAGTAGGTTGGTCTTTCATTTTTCAATCATATATCAATTTAAAGAAAAACTATGTAACTAATGAACAAGAAGAATCTAATGTCGTAAAATTCTTTTTTTATTTTTATGATTTTTATTAACAAATTTAGTTTTGTTTTAAGCATCATGTTAAAAATGTCTTGTATCTAAAAAAAATTAACAACTATCCTCATTTAAAAAAAGTGATCTATCAACAAGCAGTATTCACATTTGAAATGAAAACAATCTGTTGAGTAGTTTATAATGTACAGTTTGCCTGAATAATTGTTACCCCAAACAAGAGCATATTTCTTGCTATATTTCTGCATTACCTTGATGTTTAAAAAAATCAATAATAAAATGTTATCATTTTGAAGTTTACCGCGAATATCCCGACAATCCTTAAAACGGAAATTGTTGTGTAAATTAATTAAACTGCCCGTTAAAAGTGAGATTAAATTTGTTTTCTCTTTTATAGTTGTTTTATCATTTTGGAACGACAAATTGAATATAAGTTTTCAAGGGAAGAATGAAATATCAGTCTACCAGATTGACTATGAAGGAAATGGAGCCAGCAAAAAAAAAGTATTGTGTAAACATGGAAAAAGAGCCTTTAGTATCTCGTGTGGTGAAGAGGAAAACAATTCATGTGTTTCGATCCCTGAATTTCCTGAAGAAAATTCAACAACATTTTTTTGCACATTATATTTACGGCATCGATATGCAATGCATACAGAAGAAAGCGGATTTAAGATTTAACATCCCAAAAAAAAATTTCACCCAGACAACATCGAAAAAGGCGCAAATGAAATAGTTACAGTATTGGCTTGTGTGTGACTTTCTGCAATTTGTGATTATATTATCACTTTTCGTAAACAATGCAATAATCAGAAAATCATATGTAATAGGTATATCAAAGATGGCTAATCGAAAATAACTTAAACTTACTCGATCGCTAGTAGCGCTAACAGAAATCAATCATAAAGGTAACTGTTTGAATTGTTCATGTACTCTGTGGATCCATTACTAATTGAAAATGTTCAGTGTTATAAGGTGAGGTAAAATTTTAATTGTATCAGTATTAATTGTAAATATTTCGAAATAGAAAAAAATGTCTGCATAGGATTAAAAGATGTGAGTTATTTTCGTTTGGGCACAACTTTTGCATTATACTGTGAAGTGATTAAAAGTATCACCCATAACCTATTGCAGTTCCATTGACCAAAAATTCTTCCAAATTTCCATAGAAGAACCAGAGACAAGTCATAATTGTTAGAGGTGCAAAGCGGAAAAATAGATCATACTTACAATCCTTCTAACATTTTAAGTCTAATTATCCATACGTTTTCTTTTAAAATGTCTTCTATATTAGCGAAAAACAGAAACCAATTAAATGTTCAGTAATATATATGTGGAGTTGTCTCATTGGCAATCATACCACATCTTCATTTTTATATTGGTATATGTTGTCAATAAGTTTCGATAGGAGATAATCTTATATCATCAAACTCTCATTTCATATGAGAAAGATTGGAGATAGATAAGACTGTCTCTGTAAAAATGTACAGATATTTGTAATCAGCGCTTAAATAATAACAGCGTTCCATTCAAACCTATTAGGATTGTAAGTATGCTTTAGTTATAACATTCCGCAACTAACATTGATGGTTTGACTGTTGTTCTTCTACAGCAGTATGGTGAAAGTTCTGACCAGTTTCCAATTACATTCAGCGTTTCAAACTTCAATAAATGGAGAGGAACACTTATAATCAAGTCACTGCAATAACAAATTGACAAAGAGGTAAGAGGTACAGGTAAAAATGTTTAAGCCAGAGTCAAAATTGACAAGCTGCTTATTCCCTCTAGACTGATAAGAATATACCCAAAAATGAAATAATATTCTATAAAGGTTTTTCAATGATTTGAAATGTATCCATTACATCGAAAGGCTATTAAGTTCTAAATAATGTTGTAAAAGACAATCTGAATAAATTGAAACTTGTAATTTGTGTAATTTTTAGCTTGCATGTGTAAAAACTAGTTTTATCCGACATATGTTCATAATTAGTAACATCGTCAGAGGGTGTCGGTTGTCAAATTCTAATTTTGTTTTGTGGCTTCATATTGCGTCACTCAATAGATATAGATATACCAACAAGAATGGATAGTTTTTGGTTAAGGGTTATTTGCTGTAATCAACCAAAAACTCTAATAATATGAATTTTTGACAGCCAAGGTTCCTCAAGATGATGTTCAACAAACCTATAGGGAGGCTGAGCTAAGTTTGCTGTTAATATAAAACTCAAGTTGAGCAAAATGTCATTTATTCAAAATTGATCATTAATTAAGAATGACATATTGACAATAGCAATAGTAGCAAATAAATGACAATGACTTTAAAAAGCAAAGGTGGGGTTTAGAAAAATGCCCCAACCAGTATATCATATATTACAGTAACAAATAGTTAGAAATGGTATACCGACTTTGGAACATCCAGAAGAGAAACCGACTATTAGATCTTTTAAACGAATATATAAAAAAAAAGAAGTTCATTGTCTTTGATTTTCAAAATTGTGTGAGATTCTTTTCATTTAGAACAACAAATACACAGCTGCTGATAGAACGTGGATTGTGGGCAAATATAGAAAGGTACAACCAATTATGTAACTTATGTACTAAAATACAAAGTTTGTGATGAGCCTACTACATATTTTAATGCATAGCTTTCGGTAAAGAACAAAAGATACACATCAATAATTATTTTACTAACAGATAGAACGCAATTGAATTTCTAGAAATAATGTCATGTAATCAACTATCAATTTTAAAGGAAATTTGTATGTATTTCAAATAGTAAAATAACAAAAATACTGAACTCCAAGAAAAATTCAAAACAGAAAGTCCCTTAACAAATGGCAAAATCAAAAGCTCAAATACATCAAACGAATGGAAAACAACTTGCATATTCCTGACTTGGTACATGCATGTCCTTTTGTAGCAAATGGTGGATTAAAAAATACACTAATCTTTTTTTTCTCAAAAAAATGATGAAAAGCCATGACCTTAGTAAATGTATTATTATATATCTTAATATATGTGAGAGAATTATAATCCCTTTCTTCATGATTAAGTACGAGCGTTAGCGAGTACTTATCAGGAAGAAAAGGATAATCATTCTCTTACAAACTTAGAATATTTTAAAGTGCTCAAGGCTCAAATGATCTCTTGATTGGTTTTATTCAAGAATTTGTTTCATTGTCAGTGGAATGTTAATAGTTAATGGATGACTCCCTTTGTAGGTATTTCAATTATATATTAGTCTTATTCATGTGAGGACTTACTTTTAGTTTTTGAAATTCAAATAAATTGTGTTTTAGACTTAAGTTGACACAACAGTCCAATGAAATGGTAGAAATTTTCGTAATGCGAGTATAAGTGTAAATTATGTAATAATTTAATTAGGAATTATTGTTTTGTTTATTTAACAGTTCAATTTAATTAATTCAAAATCAGAGTTACAACTAAGTTCCATTCCACAAACAATTTTATTCCAGCGTTTTGCATCAAATACTATTTAATTAACTAGAATTTAACAATTATAAGAAAATGTTTTTTTTTTTATGAAATTCAAAAGTTACATTTGTAATTCGATTTCATGTATTCAGGGGTTCAAATTAACATTTAGTACTGGAAGGTCCAAGACCTTTGAAACTCCAAACTGAAAGGTCCACAACATAAATCCCAGGTCCTACTTTATTTGAAATATTTCATAACTCAGTAAGATTAATGTGTTTTGGTCTTAGGTTACCTTGTTTAATTATATTTGAACTGCATGCAATATGTTGTTAAGTTTACAAATATATTGCCAGGCAACCATATAAATGTAGCACTAAACTGTCAGTGTCACTGTGGTATAACATGTATAATAATAAATGATGTAATTGTCTTACAAGTATATTATGAATTCAAATAATTTTTTTTTTTTTGGTATTGGGGAGGGTGTCACTGTGGGTGGGTGTGTTGTTTCAATTATTGGTAATTATACCATTATCTCAGGGCTTAGACTACTTCAGAATCATAGGGGGAAGTGACTGATAGGGAGAAGTGATGAGATTTGAAAGAGAAGTGCTCACTCAAGGCGCTACAATGTTTGATGTTTACTATAATATAAAGGGCTATGTGTATCTTTTTGTATATTGTTCAATTCATAACCGAGTATTCAATTAAAGTAACAGTTCAAATTCAAAGCTGTTTAAGTTCATCATATGTTGCACAATTATATTAGTTCCTCTCTTGTTAGAAACTACCAACTAAATATCTAGCACTAATAAAGAAAGAACTTTTTTTACATCAAAAAAGAAAAGAAAGTGTGGAATGCTTAATTTTTCCCTTTGGGATCAATATTCTGCTGTCAGATGTGCCATTCATTGGTCCGTAGTCATTATCCTTAGAATCCGGATTTCTTTCATAGCTGGTCCGTTTCCCGACTCCAATCAGTAGTTTGTACAAATATTTCAATGGCTGACGAAAAAATGTACAAAAATAAACGATGTTTGAAACGCTATTTGGAAGGGAATATTACGTTTTTAATGAAACGAATGGATTACAAATTTACTTAAGGCAACTTTCATCACTTCTAATGGGTTAACAAACTTATTTTGCCGACAGTTAAAATGGTTCAAGGTACGGTCTTAAGGGGTATACCATGACAATAGTAATATGGCTTTGAAATGACGATACTGATGGTTCAAAAGGTCGGCAAAGTTAATTTTTATTTTCTTTCAAATCGAAGGTCCGTCGGGCGTAGCAAGTAACCAAAATGAAAGTCCGATTGCAATAGTGGAAGGTCACGGACCTCGGACCACCGCTAATTTGAACCCCTGATACCGTATGCACCGGTTTATTGGAAATTACTATTCCTACTTACTGCGGATACAGTAATCTGATTTTTGGGAAGCGTATGAGCTAAAAATTAAGGTTAAATCTAATTTTAAAAGTTTTTTTTTCTTCTTTTTCTTCTTTCACACTCATTTTTAATGCTTTTTGTTTGGTAATTTCGAAGTTCTAAATATTCACATACTAACACAAACGATACCAATTATACTGCACACGTAAATTTCAAACGTATTTTGATTCTTTTGTTTGTTTCAAAATTCGACTTTCAATTAATCATCCTGTCATTTTGATAAATGTGCTTATGGCAGTTGTGACTGATCTATATACATTCTTTGTTTTGAACTGTAAATAGGCCTAAACAATAGGATAATCCCTTACTAAGAACATGTTTACATTCATTCTTCATAATTAAGAAACACCAAATTCAACACTTTCATTGGTCGAGAGCACTTTGCTATATTCTAACATCAACTAATTCATAAATGAAATACACAAAAATGACGTCATGCATTTCACATAAACATTGCACTAACAATGGAACTAATTCTTGAATACAACCATTCAAGAGATCATTTGAGCCTTCAGCACTTTACAATATTCTAAGTTTGTAAGAGAATGATAATCCCTTTCATCATGATAAGTACTCGCTAACGCTCGTACTTAATCATGAAGAAAGGGATTATCATTCTCTTACATATACATAACAAGCTAATTAAGGTATAAGATACAAGATTACTAATGGTTTCTTTTAAACACAAATTATTGCATGTTTCTACAATCTTTTTTTCCTTCTTTTTTTGTTGTTCATTCAATACAAAATAAAGAATCTCCCATGGTTGTGTTATTACAGAATTACTGTGTATGCTTTGCTTAGTCAGCTTACTACATTTACTAAGGTCATGGTTTTTCTTCATTTTTTCAGAAAACACAAGATTCAATCTTTCTGATCCAAAATTTTAAATTTAATTGAGTGGTAATTGAAAAGTAATTGTCAATTACAGACAATTTTTGCTTTGTAATTCATTTCTTTCTATTAATTGTAATTAAAAAATGCTCAGTTACACATTACATTCAATTACTTGAGAAATTGTAATTAATTACGGTCAATTACAATTACATATTTCAATTACCCCATGTCTGGTTCAAATTTACGGGTATTATATCATAGTTAAATGAAAAATATTCCAAGAAGATGTATAAAGTATTCCTTGTTTGTTGAGCGAATTTAACCGTAGAGCATGTTTTTGTTTCGATGTACTTTTTGTGTTTTAATATTATTCCTTCAGTCTTTGAAATGAATCGGTGTTTTGTTTTTTTTATTTTATATGAAATTGTAGTGCGTTAAAAATGTTTATTTTCTTCATCTCCATAATGCATTTTATTTAAAAAGAAGTAAATGTCTGCATTATTTATAAATAATGGAAGTCGAAAGTTTTATGAGTCTCGTATTCTGGTTCCAAAGTAGGAATAGAGTCTCGCTTTAGTCAAATATTGATATTATTTATTAATATATAAATAGACATATAAATAACGATAACCATCAAATACCCCATTTCTAAAAATAGCTTTTATATTATGTAAACTTTCACTTTTATATAGCACCCGGAATTAAACTGGTAAGAAAATTCTTCTTGACAAATTCTGGAATTAATTGTACAGATTTGTTTAAACATTGATTCAGTACCATTTAAAAAGAAGTAAAAAGGAGCGATTGACAAGGATCATATACAAGAAATTATATATTAACTTGCGTGTGATGGCTTCTCCTTTGGACGAAATGACAGATCAACCGAAAGAGGATGAACATTCGTTACAAAATGATACGACAGAACCCGAAAGTCATATGTCACAGAAAGGATATGATGTATTTTCAAGTGATACAGCAGAAAACGATCAACTTCTACCACAAACTGAACCGGACAAAGAAGCCGAAGTTGAAAAACCGACTGCAAAAAGCTTTCTCTGGAATTACATGTATAACCATGCTACCCATGATCGAAGTATTGAACCACAACCAGAAAATAATTCAGAGTCAGATATTTGTAACAAATCTTTGCGGAATGTTAATGAGAGCGAAGCCAGTCTGGTTACTGTTCACAACAGCAGTCAGTCAAGTATTTCTAAGAAATCTTTGCAAAACGATAATTGGAGCCAATCCAGTTCGGTTGCTGTTCAAAACAACTTGGTACCTGAAAAAACACGACCTTATATGAAATACTTTATTGGGTTAGTAGTGGCATTGGTAATAGCGACGGTCATAATAACAATTTCAGTTTGTAAAAAGGTAGGGCTTTACCTTTATGTATAAACTAACTGTATGACAAAGCAACATAAGGCGACAGTCAGAAATTCATTATTTTCTTTTTGATTGATACCCCGTTACAAAAAAAAGATAATTAAAACTGTGGACATGTAGAATATCATAGTGCTTTGATGATTAACAATGATGTGATGATTGGTTGTACACCCCGTTACAAATATATAAAAATGGAAAAATTTCAATAGCTAATACTTTCACTTGAATGATATTGGAATAATTAGATGGTTTGTTATTGTTTTGTATTTCTTTTGCTTCATTTATATATTGTTTTTTAATTTTTATTATTATCACATATATTTTTCTACTAAATTTAATATGATTTATTTTATGCATGTATTTTATTTGTCCTTTTTTAAACAAAATGAAAACTTCGTTTGATTGGAACATTTGTCTGTTAATATGAGGAATTGCTCGTACTTTTTCAGTATTGCCAGGAAGCGCACTTAGCGGAAGGGACTCGAGAAGGACCAGTTTGCCAAGACCTAAATAGTACGTATATATATATGGTTTATCGGTGTCTAACATTTTTAGATTTTGCGGCTTCGCGTTTTATTTAGAAACATATATGTCTGAATGAATCTTAACACATGTTACATAGAAAGAGATACAAGGAAATTTTTTAAAAAGTTCATGCGTATTGTAATGATAATCACAATCTAAGGAATGAAACAAAAATATTGGAAATGTATTGATTATGGCCAGAGCGTCTTTTTCCATTATTTTCCATTCCAAAACTTATATTTTTTGTCGCTGGCGGATGAAATCGTTTTTTTTTATGTTTATATGAACAAATGCAAGATCAACGAAAAATAGCACTCTAAGATTTGGTGTGCCCGAAATGCTTTACTGGATTCAACTTCACCAGGAACACTAAAACCAAATAAAATGAAAGCCAATTATGTATAAGCGTTAAATACTTGAGGTGCTGAAAGAAAAAAAGAGACTAAGAAGATAGGTTGTTCATGATAATACTTCTCTATCTATTTTTTGACTGGAAAATTGCAAGGTGGTGCATCCTTGTAAAATAAGAATAACAAACACAACGAATAATATTCATAAACGATTTTTTAACACATACACAAATTGCTCAGTAAACGTTTCCTTTCTCTTTTGTCTAAGATTAGAATGTTAATCGGTAAATTCATGTGGAAGATCGTTTTTGACAGTACAATCTTTTAATCATAAAATGATGGCGATAACATGGGAGATATTCAGTTTTGATTTCTTTTTAATATTTCTTTGGAGAAAATCATTAAATCTTATGTACACTAAAATATATAATAATTTTTCTGTTGCAGTCAGTTGTTAGTTCCTCAACAAAATCTGATTGGAATGAATGTGTGATGAAAATAAATGTTTCTTTGACTTTTACCCGCTTTTTGTTACTTTTTGTGGTCATGTGAACTAAATGTATCCCTTGTTACATATCGTCCGTTAACTTTCACATTTCCGTCTTCTGCACAATTTAAGCTTGACATGATTTGCTAGTAGCGTTCGTAGCCAATGCATTGAAAATATTAAGTTAAAAAGTTCTATTATGCTTTATTACGATTTTTGTGACAATTTGTTTGGACAAACAACGTTTTGCATCGAACGATGTATTGCGAGAAATAACGTCACCTACATATTTATGAATTGCATATGCATTCTAATTAAACTACTTGGGATGTTATAATAAATAGTTATTCACCTAAAGCGCTGTATTTTTTACGTGACCATCTGTGGTTCTTTTCGACGTACCGGTCATCAGTTGACTGTGTCAATTCCCTTTTATATCACTACACCGATGCTTTATAGATATAAAAACAAACACATTATATTTAAAAAGCGAAAATATCTGTATTTAATATTAATTGTTTAAGCAATACCGTTGCACAAAATAAATTGCAGGTTAAAGACAATAAGTGTATAGTGTCTTTAAATATCAGATGTATTTGTACTCAGCTCAATTCTATCCACACATAGAGATACGGCTCGATTTAACATGGAACATATAACACAGGCTGACTGATATCTTCCGTGATTCTTTTTTTTATAGTATAATAGACAAATATGGTTAAGAAAAATAACTAGAATTTATGAAGATTGTGAAGTCATATCGCATGCATATGTGTAACCAGTGAAAGTGGGTTAAGAGCTAGAATGACTCGATTGACTAATTATCTTAGGCCTGTAGCTTTTTGAAATGGGGCGATGCAGAAGATGTATGGAAAGGCATACTTTTAATAAAACAATCTATATCTACATGTATCTCGAGATTGAGAAAAATACATATGTCTATGCAGCAACAATATTCTCGACAATTGTATGTAAACCGGGACGAGACCAAGCTCGTGCAATAACTTATAAGAATATTTCGGTGGGCGTTCCAGATATAGGTAATCCAATAAAGCGCTTCAGACGCATTAAGTTTATAGAGTGTTTTTCTTTAAAGAACAAATTTGTATTTATCATTAACTATGTGAAAATAGTAGACAAGGTTTACGACATAGTGTACGACGGTCTTGAAGGATCACACAATCGATTAATAATGAATACATATAAAAGTTCAACATTATTAAAATTGACAATATAAAGACGATATTACCTTGCTTTCACTTGGACTAATAATTCCTACCAAAGGGAGGGCCCAAGTGATCGATTATAATGATCACTAGTTTGTCAACACAGAGGTTCTGAGTTTGAACCCCGCTCTTGGCAGATGCGTCCGAATTCAATCTTAATTGACTCGAATAGTCATTTTTCCTGCTGTCGGTCAATAATTCTCATCATGTACTCCAACTTCCTCCACCAATTGAAAAACCATCTACGACATAGTCAAGAGTGCGGAAAGTTGCGTCAAACACCTACAATATATTAATTGGCGATTTTTTAAAATATAATTTGATTCGTTTTAATCCCTAAATCATAATTTGAATCAATAATTTATTCCTGTCAATTGAATTCTTATTAACGAATAGATTGATAAGCAAAATTGAGGATACACTCATTTTTATCGTACAACGTGGCAGTACAACGGTACAAGTAGTGACGTCACTGTAGATACAAATATTGTCAGTGAAAAGTTTGACGTTTTTCAAACTTTAACAAGATAAAGCATGTTATCAAGCACGTTTGCTTAGGACTTTTTATGCATCAGTAGTTTGGTCTTTCATTTTTCCATCATATATCAATTTAAAGAAAAACTATGTGAACTAATTAACTAGAATCTAATGTTGTAAAATTCTTTTTTATTTTTATGATTTTTATTAACAAATTTAGTTTTATTTTAGTATCATGTTAAAAAATGTCTTGTATCTAAAAAATTTAACAAATATCCTCATTTAAAAAAAGTGATCTATCAACAAGCACTATTCACATTTGAAATGAAAAGAATCTGTGGAGTAGTTTATAATGTACAGTTCGCCTGAATAATTGTTTCCCCAAACAAGCGCATATTTCTTGCTATATTTCTGCATTACCTTGATGTTTAAAAAAATCAGTAATAAAATGTTATCATTTTGAAGTTTACCGCGAATATCCCGACAATCCTTTAAAACGGAAATTGTTGTGTAAATTAATTAAACTGCCCGTTAAAAGTGAGATTAAATTTGTTTTCTCTTTTATAGTTGTTTTATCATTTTGGAACGACAAATTGAATATAAGTTTTCAAGGGAAGAATGAAATATCAGTCTACCAGATTGACTATGAAGGAAATGGAGCCAGCAAAAAAAAAAAAGTATTGTGTAAACATGGAAAAGGAGCCTTTAGTATCTCGTGTGGTGAAGAGGAAAACAATTTATGTGTTCCGATCCCTGAATTTCCAAAAGAAAATTCAACAACATCTTTGGCAGATTATATTTACGACATCGATAAGCAATGCATACAGAAGAAAGCGGATTTAAGATGGGAAACATCCCACAGAAAAATTTCACCCAGACATCATCGAAAAAGGCGCAAATGAAATAGTTTTCGTTACAGTATTGACTTGTGTGTGACTTTCTGCAATATTTGTGATTATATAATCTCTTTTCGTGAACAATGCCATAATCAGAAAATCATATGTAATAGGTATATCAAAGATGGCTAATCAAAAATAAATTAAATTTACACGATCGCTAGTAGCGCTAACAGAAATCAATCATAAAGGTAACTTTTTAAATTGTTCATGTACTCTGTAGATCCATTACTAATTGAAAATTTCAGTGTAATAAGGTGAGGTGAATTTTAAATTGTACCAGTATTCATTGTAAATATTTCGAAATAGAAAAAAATGTCTGTATAGGATTTTAAAAATATGAGGTATTTTCCTTTGGGCACAAATTTTGCATTATACTGTGACTTGATTACAAGTATCCCCCATAACCTATTGCAGTTCCATTAACCACAAATTCTACCAAATTTCCATAGAAGAACCATAGATAAGTCATAAATGTTAGTAGTGCAATGCGGAAAATAGATCATACAATCCTTTAAACATATCAAGTGTAATTATCAATACGTTTTTTTTTATATATGTCTTCTATATTAGCGAGAAACCTAAACCAATTAAATGTTCAGTAATATATATGTGGAGTTGTCTCATTGGCAATCATACCACATCTTCATTTTTATATTGGTATATGTTGTCAATAAGTTTCGATAGGAGATAATCTTATATCATCAAACTCTCATTTCATATGAGAAAGATTGGAGATAGATAAGACTGTCTTATCTCCCTATAAAACGTAAAAATGTATCAGCACTTAAATAATAACAGCGTTCTATTCAAACCTATTAGGATTGTAAATATGCTTTAGTTATAACATTCCGCTACTAGCATTGATGGTTTGACTGTTGTTCTTCTACAGCAGTATGGTGAAAGTTCTGACCAGTTTCCAATTACATTCAACGTTTCGAACTTCAATAGATGGAGAGGAACACTTATAATCAAGTCACTGCAATAACAAATTGACAAAGAGGTAAGAGGTACAGGTAAAAATGTTTAAGCCAAAGAGTCAAAATTGACAAGCTGCTTACTCCCTCTAGACTGATTAGAATATACCCAAAAAAAATGAAATAATATTCTATAAAGGTTTTCCAATGATTTGAAATGTATCCATTACATCGAAAGGCTATTAAGTTCTGAATAATGTTGTAAAAGACAATCTGAATAACTTGAAACTTGTAATTTGTGTAATTTGAGTCTGTAAAATTTTGCATCGAGGACCTGATCAACATAAATGTATTAATTAGTATTTGAAGGACAATACATAGTTTTATCTCCGACAGGATTTTAATTTTAATTTACGATGTCTTCATTGAAAAAAAACATATTTTGAATTTATCAAATTCATCAAAAATGTAATTTCCAGCAATCTGTAGAAAGATTTGTTTCACATGATCAGACATGCGTCTAAATATTGCGGGGAACCCAAGCTATACAGTTGAATCCGTGATGCTGTGTATTTTAATAAAAATTGGAAGTCTTTTGTTAATAACACTGGTTTGAAATTCAGCTAAGAAAATTGGCATTTTCTAATCATTTCAAGAATCTGAAAATTGATCATAACAATATTGATGGAGAAAACTTTTTTTTATGCCAAATTGCATTTTCTTTATATACGTTTAATGATGATAAGTAATAGAACTTTTATATTTGTTTTGAAATTGTGATTGCTTTAATAGATTGGCTTAAATCTCATAGCACTTCTTATTTTAACTTCAACAATAGCATTGTAATTGACAATGCAAATCATTTCTGATTACGTCATGGAAATTTGGTGATTTAAATAAATAGTATTTTTCTAAGGAAAACCGAGAATGTACAAGTTGATTGGTGATGAATCTGATAGAAAATTGCAAAACAGTTCCTTGGTTTTACAAATTGTGATACAACTACGTTGACTTCATAAAATTCATAAAATACCCAAACCGTTACAGAAACCATATTTGATGCACCATGGATAAATTCTTACACAATGACATGCAGTCCTCTTTTTACTCTTTATGAAATAATTTTAAGAAGAAATAAACTATCGATTTATTAATCAGAAAGTATGTCAAAGAATTTTTTAGCTTGCATGTGTGAAAACCAGTTTTATCCGACATATGTTCATTATTAGTAACATCGTCAGGGGTTGTCTGTTGTCATATTCTAATTTTGTTTTGCGGCTTCATATTGTGTTACCCAATAGATATAGATAACAACAAGAATGGATAGTTTTTGGTTAGGGGTTATTTGTTGTTATCAAACAAAAACTCTAATAATGTGAATTGATTTTGATATCATATGGCTAACAATCAAACTGTAAAATTATCACATTCTTAATATCAGTAAAGCAAATATCTTATGCCTGTTGTTACAATGTTATGTGGGAGAGTTATTAATATATGATCGAAAGCCATTACGAACATGCTCTAGTTTATTTAGAAATGGTATACCGACTTTGGAACATCCAGAAGATAAACCGACTATTAGATCTTTTGAACGAATATAAAAAAAGAAGTTCATCTTCTTTGATTTTCAAAACTGTGAGATTCTATTCATTTAGAACAACAAATACACAACTGCTGATAGAACGTGGATTGTGGACATATATAGAAAGGGACAACCAATTATGTAACTTATGTACTAAAATACAAAGTTTGTGATGAGTTTACTACATATTTTAATGCATAGCTTTCGGTAAAGAACAAAAGATCAATAATTATTTTACTAACATACAGAACGCAATTAAATTTCTAGAACTGATGTCATGTAAAAAATGGGCGAAAGATACCATTTCGAGAAACATTCAAACTCATATGTCGAAAATAAACAGACAACACCATGGCTAAAAAAGAAAAAGACCAATAGGCAATGCAATAGTACACAAAACACAGTATATATAGAAACTAAAGACTGAGCAACACGAACCCCACCAAAAACGGGGGGTGATCTATTGTGCTGCAGAAGGGTAAGCAGATCCTGTCGTGTTGCTCATGTTATTACAAACCCGATACTAAGTCAAAATTCGGTAGGTCACAATCAACTAGCAATTCTAAAGGAAATTTGTATGTATTTCAAAGAGTAAAATAACAAAAATACCGGACTCCAAAAAAAAATTCAAAACGGAAAGTCCCTTAACAAATTGCAAAATCAAATGCTCAACACATTTAACGCATGGAAAACAACTGTCATATTCCTGACTTGGTACAGGCATGTCGTTTTGTAGAAAATGGTGGATTAAACCTGGTTTTAATGTGTATATAACTGTCTTTGTTCTGCCAGCTAAACTTTGTTATATCAGTTTTGTTTTGTTTATATTGTACCCCTTCAATCATTGTATATACATTTTGTTTACGGTAAATGTGATTGTGTTCCGTCTTTTGATGAACTGGGGTTTTCGTTTTAATTTCAATAAGTCATGTACAATACAATAAGCTGTACATTTAATTGAGATTAACATTAATGGTTCAGGATGTATGGAATTGAATGTATTGCGATAGCAGATAACTATTTGTACGTAACAATTGAGCTTATCGCCTTTGAAGTGAATTGAATTCATGTAGAAAAAGCAGAAAGGCGTTAAAAATTGTCAAGACAAGGTAAAATAAATCTTCCTATAACTAAATAAATCTGTAAGGCAACCCTGTGTTCTGTACAGGTGTGACATATTGAATAACATGATAACTCACGATATTGCTACTTTGAACCGCTTTCATTATTTCATAATGAAATATATTCAGGACTTCAAAACTTCGACGCGATCTTAAATGTACAAAAGTATTCGTAAATGTGGTATTCATCCGGTTACAGGAGTCAGGATATATTGACCAAAGAAAAGTCATCTTCCTACAAAAACTACATACAATAGACAGGTTATGCCTTTCTAAGATGATATTCCATGTTTGACTGTTTCATTTCCAGATAAACATTAGACGAAACACTTTGGTTTAATTACTGTTCTGCATAAGTTTAGATTCATTTATTGCTTTTTTTAATATATCGAAGATGAGTTTTCAAATTCATTTAATTTGGGCTTCCACCTACATGTTTTTTTTATTTTGATTAAAGCCACTGATGAGTCTTGTAAAAAAAGAACGCGCGTTTTGCATACACGATTATAAACCTGTATATTTAAAGAGGTTTTATGCGCTACCATATAATACATTTAAAAAAAAATAGGCATGCAAAGTTATTTATGAAAAACATTACCGTACCCAACTTACAAGTGTTTCATGCCTTATTTCAGGCCCGAGGAAGAGGATTATCGCTAGAACTGCTTACTCTATTTTAGTTTTTTTTTCTACTTATCTTTATTACATTACTCAAATGTTGCTTTCTTTTGTTTACATTCGTTAGACTATTTCATTCTATGTGGTGTCTCTCCGTTGATTTAAGAAAACTGGTACTTGAATTCTACCAACACTAATTTGTATTTCCATAATTAACCAAATTTAGTCCCAAATTATTTTATTTTTTCAGAATTGAGAAATGTTGAAAGATAAATATTAATATTAAGGTCAAGGAACAGTTGATACAAAATTTACGTTTTAATGATGCAAAATAATGATAGGGTTATCGACTTCGTTTTTACGGTACACATCATTCAAAGTGGTGTTTTGATTTGATTCTAGGATTTTAGTACTATTTACGAACTTTGGAGGGAATTCTACGTAATTGATTTTAATTTCTTGTTGTGTAATTGCCCAATAGATCTAAGGGGTTTCCTCTGTCTGGTGTGATCTACTGGTAGAGAGCAGAGACCCAAATAGAGACGTACATGGACTGGTAGAGAGCAGAGAGTCCCGAATGGAGACATGACACAAGAGTCACGCCTGACCACGCTCAGCCTCTTCTTGACCCGTAACGTCATCGCGTTGAACTCCGTAAAACATCAATTGTTGACTTTTATCACTACCCAGTAGGTAACAGATTGATTATTAGACAAAAAACGAAGTCGGTGACCATATGATTATAATTTATCATTAAAACGGATATTTATGTATTAACAACATATAGTTTTTCCAAAAAAAATCTATGTATTCGAAATTGAAGATTTGATGATTTTTTTGAGAAATTTATCGTTTTTTCGCCGATTTTATGTGCTTTCTAAACAAATTTTTACCTTTTTTGAAAGAATTCAATCAATAATATTTCAGATAATAAAAGAGATAAATGTATTACTTTTTCGACTTTCAGTCATAATTAAACGGGCCAAAATTGTATGTAAAATTTTTGCAAAATCTGTGACATAGCCCATTTACTGTAACTTGACCATAAACGAAGTTTGTTGGACAATTGTGGGTAAGTTTATGTCAATAACTTAGTATGGTTCATGCGTTAAATTAATTTTATTTAAGTTCAATGATTATAATTTGCATAATTGAGAACCGTGAAGACATACTCATATTTACAGTAGAAAGTTTCAATTCTGTTCTCGAGCAATCCATGCTGTTCAACAAAATGTCAATAAATATGAATCCAAATTCTAAGAAAAAGTATTTCATATACAGTTACAAAAAAACGTGAAAATTATTTGAAGTAATCAATGAACGTTTTTTTTTCTATATAGTTGTCTGAATTAAAGACTGTAATGAATACTGAATTTAACACTCCTTCAAAACACATAACATACAACTGAAAAACTAAATTACTCGTTTAATTCCTAACTTGTTTGATAACTTATTTGTCAAGCTCCTTTTGAAAATCTTGCAATTCCCTAAGTTTATGTTTTTTACCTTGTTTTGTCAATTGGTGTCCTTTTTTGAATGAATAACACGATGGGTACCTCTTGTTGGGACTTTTACTCATTGAGTTTAACGGGGTTCGTGTGACTCTATCGTTAGTTATCTATGAAGTGTTAGTGAAACAGTTTTTGGGTTATCTTCTTTTTTGTGACTGTGGTTTTACCTGTCTTTCTTTGACTAAAGGTTTCTTTTTAATATCTTAATAGGTTTTGTTTTTATTCCTAAATAAGTGTTAACATCAGATTTCTGCAAGTCCAGGGGCGCTTTTGAGTTTGTACTTGTTTATTCTTTGAAATCATATGTTGACATCTAGAGGTATTTTTGTGTTTGATTTGCTTTTTTTGTTGCTGTAGTGTTTAAACAATTGACAATTAGAGTACTAGTGACATATAATCAAGTAGTAGTTTGGTTACACCACCTAACCAACTCTGAAACATATACTCAATTGAAAGATCAGGTTAAGTCCTTTCTGTGTGCATCCCATTGTCTATTCTTTCTCTGATTTAATATACCAAATGAAAATATGTTAAGTATAGTAAATTTCATAGTAAGTACAAGAATTTTTTCCCTTTACAATACAATGGCAATGAATAAAATAAATCAAGATGGGATGAAAACGTATATGCAGCTTTATCAGAGGATTAATGTATTCCTACTGACCTTTTGGCACTGTCCCAACAAAATATTTACAAGTTATTTAAAGCAATAACACCTTTTAACACAAAAGCTGAAGATACGAAAAACTTTCCTCAGAGGAACGATGTACATGCAAAGTCATTTATGTATTATTTGACTGCCTCATAAATATATCATACTGTACAGAACGAGCATATTCCCTCATTCAACAGGGTCGGATGTGTAAGAATTATTTGACACAGTAGGAAACTCCTGTGAAAATTGTGAAACAGCATTGTGAAGCTAGATGAATAGTTTAAGGCAAGAAACATGTCAGGTTTGACAGACAAATGTTAGAAAAAACAAAACATGGCTAAACATGGGAACAAGGAGGAGAAATTAAAGATGCAATACTAAAAGAATTGTAGGCGAGTGACAGTTTTCAAAAAGACGCTTAGTTAGCTTTCGTAAATTATACGGACGCCATCACGAGTTGGTTGACCGTTATGGAATAACCGTTTCACAGATGATATCGGATATGTTCCTTATGTCGTAACTACAATACCCTTCCCTTTTCACGAATGTGACTTACCGAATTAGACTATTTACTGGATTTGTAATAACATAAGCAACACGACGGGTGCCACATGTGGAGCAGGATCTGCTTACCCTTCCGGAGCACCTGATATCACCCCCAGTTTTTGGTGGGGTTCGTGTTGCTTAGTCTTTAGTTTTCTATGTTGTGTCATCTGTACTATTGTTTGTCTGTTTGTCTTTTTATTATTGTCCATGGCGTTGTCAGTTTGTTTTCGATCTATGAGTTAGACTGTCCCTCTGGTATCTTTCGTCCCTCTTTTAGTTAACGACTTTAATGCACCCACCTAACATACGGCTATATTATATATCATTCGAAAGCTTATTAACTGTACTTTCTGTTTTGCCCGGTCGTCAATAATTCGTACGGTGCAATTTTCGTGAAATCAAGG